TAACATATCCAGGATTAAATTCAATCTTTCACCAGTAATTCTGTCTGATATAGAATTTAATTTGGCTTTCCTGATAATATCCAGTTTTTCAGTAGCACTTTTACTGAACATAATCCTAGAAACCCTAATATTGATTGGAAAAGGAACAGGGCCATACTGTACTACATGGATCTGAAGTTAAAGCACTAAATTTTCTGATACTGTATCTGAAAAAATTAACATAGTTGACTTAAAACAAACATCCAAAGACAAGCCCAGATCAGAATAACATAAAACACTAATAAAAAAGGAAATACACTGTCACTTAAGTGTTTTTCTGCATATCAGTACACTTAAGAAAGCTTTTAATATTGCAGTTTGTGGTCTTAAAGATAATACATCGGTGATGCACAAAACCTCCCTCAAGCTAGTCCCCTACTGGCTCCTTTTTCATTTAGTCATGATAATTCAGACCATTAATTAATATTTTGATTTCATGGACAAAAACATGGAAACATTAATTAGAGCACAATGTAAAATACATTTTACTGCATCACAGATGAAACTGCGAACAATGTATGTTTACATATGCTTTGCTATTGGGTATGGGACATGAAAATCTTTATTCCAGATGATATGGTAACCTTGTATGAGAAACTCTGTGTTGAAACCACTGCATTGAAGAGTGATCATCCAGCCACAAAACTTTCATATTAAACAATGTAAATAAGTCCAGCTTGAGTACTACTCTTGAAAGAGCAGAGAGAGAGACCACAGGGAGTGTATCAGAATACATATAACCTCAACAACTGCTGCGACAGAGCTGGTAAGTATTTTAATGAGATGTGATTACTGCTGTGAAATTAAATTTCTTGCTGCCAGAGTTGGTTGCTAATAGACTGCAAGCTCAATCCTCTTCATAAAACCAAAGGCTGTCAATTTTGAGTTTCATGATTCCAGTTCATGGAAAGGAAAGCCATATCTTTGTACTGTACTTTGGCAGTCTGTGGCTGTCAGAAGCAAGAGCATTTAGGTAGCAATTATCACCAAGAAGTTGCAGGGACCAAACCAGCAAGCACTTGTCAGTAAAACCAGCCATGTTGTCTTCCATGAGATTGTCCTGCCTCAATTCCTGCCTGCCCCAATTCAGGGGAAATTCTGAATTGGACAAAGACAGCAGGACCTCGAGCCTATCTTGGCAAGCAATGGGCAGAAGATGAGGTACACCCTGGACAGGATGCCATCACATGTCCATTGCAGGGCACACACAGACGTAAACACAGATTCAGTATGTACATTCAGACCAAGGCCAATTTTGCCAGAAGGCAATTAACCTACCAGTATGTTTTTGGACTGTGGGAGGAAACCAGGGCACATGGATGAAATTCACATAAACACAGCAAGAACATACAAACTCCATGGAGATAACACCTGAGATGGCACAGATTGAAATGAGGCCCCCAATATTGTGAGATAGGAGTGGCGACCATCTTACTACCCTCCCAAAGCATTGTTTGATTTTTTTTCGTCAATTCTGACACTGATGAAGTGAGTGGGGAGGCATAAAGAATATTTGTTTTACAAATCATACAAGGTGACATTTCTAGTACAGTACATGTGCCACACCTCACATCATGCAATAGTAAGTTTTGTTGCCAGAATATTGTTTATTTGAACGTATATTCATTACTGACATTAGAAAAAATAAAACTATGATTTCTGATATCTACAGTCTAACTGGTTCATTGTAATTTTAAAAAATACGTATTTTTCACATGAAACTTTTAGTAAGAGTAGTAATATTTGTCAATAGCAACATAGAGATCTTGCTTCATATCGACTGATACAATTGTATTTTTATAATTTTATAAATCTGAACTTAAAAATATACTATTTATAAGCCAAGTTCAGATGACCATGCTGAAGCATGATGAAAAGCATCTGTAGCACCCAACTCATAAAGATGATATGGTTAAAACTACAAAAGCTGATCTACTGTACATTCCACATCAACTCCACAGTGCACACTTCACATGTAGGAGACTACAATGCCAAAGTATAATTATGTTTT